GAGACATGAAGAAGAGGGGACACATGTTGATGTAGAAGAGACATGAAGAAGAGGGGACACATGTTGATGTAGAAGAGACATGGAGAAGAGGGGACACATGTTGATGTAGATGAGACATGAAGAAGAGGGGACACATGTTGATAAACAAACTAAATCACCTTTGCATGGCTGGGCAATACCAACGCTAAGCTAAAAAGTCAGACTTCTGTCGGTGCGTTGTTGTTTAGTTTCACCAACTTAATCTTTAACAAAGATTAAATCTGTTAAGTGTCTCTAGATATAGCTCTTTGATAAATGTAGTGGAATGGAAAATCCAAACATTTCCCTCTGATTTGTAATGCTGTATAGAGTAGGAGAAATATGCAAGTTTCTCTGATCTTTAAGTAAATTAAATGTATTGGTGAATGTACTTGAGGCAAGATTATGGAGTGCACAAAGGCACTGACCCATATTGCTTAGTCTGAAGTCTAATTTCCATGTATATCTTATCTATATAGGCCACCTTTACTCTTGTTATACCTGCCTCCAAAATGATGACGATGAAAGATGCCACCTTTATGACCCCACTGGCCCAAGTTGACTTTGAAACAGGCTGTGTCTTGTTTTGAACCTTATCACCTGTGGACTGGATCACCTGGCTTGGTGTTAAAGTACTTATTTGGGGCGGGGATTGCACCAATACTACTACTACTAACACCTTTGATGTTTTATAACCCATGATGCAATGCAATCCCAGTGTGTGTCAGCTGCATATAAATAAGCCCAACACCTCGACTTAGTCTGCAGGCTGGGCCAGGTGCAAGAGTCTTTGAGAAATACAACGAGCAGCAATGGGAGAGAAAATGGAAATGGAGGACACAGACTGCACTCTGATGGAGCAGGGGAAGAAGCCAACAGCGCCCAAACCTCCAAACAAATACGAGACTCTGTTCCAGCCTTGCCTCGCCGAGATCATCGGGACCATGTTCTTTGTTTTTGTGGGCTGTGTGTCCGTCATTGAGAACGTTCCGGCGGCTGGACGCCTGCAGCCGGCCCTCGTGCACGGACTGGCTGTGGCTGTGATGGTAGCGGTCATGGATAACATCAGGTAAAGGTGTCAAGACTAGTAATAACCAGAGATGGCAAAAGTACACAACCTTTACTCAAGTAGAAGTACAGATACTGGTGTTTAAAAATACTCTGGTAAAAGTAGAAGTACTGACTAAACTTCTGTACTCAAGTAAAGCAGTATGGGCACCAAAATGTACTTAAGTAAAAAGTACCCTTAACTTTGTGTCCTTGGGCAAAACACTTTACCCTAAGTTGCTGTATTCACTGTCTCATGTCTGATATGTGTATTATCAGAATACCTTTATTAGTCCCACAGAGGGGAAAGCGCTTTGAGATGGCAATAAGTCAGATGCTTTTGGACGAGTCATATATTTTGAGGAAATGAACCTTTCTGTGCTGCTTCTCCTTCTCTAGTGGCTCCCATTTCAACCCTCCCTTCACCATTGCCATCTACCTGTGTGGAGGCATGGAGCTGATGATGGTAGGGCCGTACCTGGCCAGCCAGCTGATTGGTGGAGTGCTGGGAGCGGGAATGGCCAAGGTCAGTTGAAAGTTAATCAACTTATAAAGGCAAAATACTCTGAAACAACTCTGTCTTCTACAATTATGTTCCCTTACATCCGAAATGCTTTGAGGAAACTGTGCTTTTTAAAAATGTAAACAAGGATGGACTTATAGATTGAAACAAACACAACAAAAACTACTTGATCATTTTTGTTGAACCTCATGGTTCGCTTTAAAATAAGAGAAAAAGCTACATACATGTCCTCCTTTTAAACTTCCATATTTATTTTGCTGGAAGCTATTAAGCTTATCAATATCAACTTATTTGACAATGCGTTTTTTTTGTGTGGGTGTAAAATGTTCTAAGATATTGGGCTCTTAAAAATGTCATGAAAGTGGACTGTGACACATATGCACACAAGACTTTACCTTATATTTTATACTTTGGGCATTTAAAGTCTTCCATATATTTCTGCTGGGGGCTTTTTAGCTGGTTAATATAAAGATGTTACTCCTTATCTGTTTGGATTACACTGCATATTATGTGTTTCCCCTAAAGGCTTAAGGGGAAATGTAACATGAGAATGCACTTTTTAAAAGACCAGGCTGTCTGAAAGGACGCATTTTTGAGCACACTGAAAAGCCAACTAAAGAAATCGTGAATCTTCTCTCCCAGATGATGGTCCCTGCAGACCGTTACCTCAACGCAACAGGAGCAGCGTTTGACATCCTGAAGTCGGAGAGCCAGCTGTCCGGAGCCATCTTTGGGGAGGTGGCCATGACCTGCCTGATCACAATGGTGGTCCTGCTGGTGGCTGTCAACCAGAAGACCAAAACCCCGCTGGCCCCCTTCCTGGTGGGCTGCACCGTCATCATCAACGTGCTGGCAGGGTGAGATAAGAGGGCAAAGACCAAAACATGTGTTAGCAGTTTATTGAGACACCCTGTTAATTATTCATGCTTGACAGTTATCAGCTCCTTGTCGGTTGCCACCTTCTAGGTTTATGATCCAACCAGTGGGGTCCTCCCTGCATTTACAGCGTGCAGGGAGGACCCCACTGATAATAAATGGCATTGAATTCAAACTGAATAAAAGCGTCCCCAAAATGAAAATACTTTAATTATGAAAACTGGGAGACATTGACATGTATACGTTTCTTAAGCACTCAAGTTGTAGTAGTGAGCTCTCTTCATAATTAAATCAGTATTGTTTTTACAAATTTCCCTCACAAGTTATTTAAAAAATAAGGGTAATTCAAAATTTGAATTATTATTTGAACATAATTACTAAAATAATGACATTTCTTAATCAATTGGAAAATACTTGAATCTACACTGGCAGAGTCTGAATTAAATACAAGTCAATGCAGCTAAATTAATTTAGCTTCCACTGTTGTTATCCAATTTTTTAAATGTAATATTTCTGACCGTACAACCATAACATCTCCAATGGTGAAAGTATGAAATTCCATCTCTGGCTGTATTTACTAATATGACCAATACATTTTTTAGATAACCACATTATCATGAATTAAACAATGGTGATTAAACGTTATATCATTTCTGCAGCTATAGTCATAAGAAATGTTTAGGTTTGAACAAATTACGCAACTGGCATTAATAACAAATATTGTTTCTGTCCTGTGGGTTGCAGGGGCGATGTTTCGGGGACGTGTCTGAACCCGGCCCGAGCGTTCGGTCCGGCTGTCATGACAAACTACTGGGTTTACCACTGGGTTTACTGGGTGGGACCCATCGGAGGAGGCCTGGTGGCCGCCGCTCTGCTCAGGTGAGAGAGGCTTGAAGCAATAACATAATTAAATTAATAAATACTACTTCATAAGTTAGTTTCTCATTATTTAAAGTGTTTTGTTGCTGGATTAGTGTTCAAAGAGTTGTACTTTTATGTTAAAGCACTGGTGATGTAACTTTAAAAAAATGCATTATTAATATTATTATTATTATTATTATTATTATTATTATTATTATTATTATTATTAATGTAATAATTATAATTATTATATATTATTAGTATTTATGTTTGTATTTATTTAATAATAAAACGTATTTTTATGAAATAAATAAGTAATCAAACTATAATTATTATTAAATGTTATTATTATTATTTGTACTATTTATTTATTTTATAATAATAATAAATCATTATTATTGTCATTATTTGTTATTAGTATTTGTATTATTATTATTATTATTATTATTATTATTATTATTATTTTCTTTAGTTATTCGTGCATTTCTTTTATTATATTTGTATTGTTATTATAAAGTGCGTTATTCATGTTATTATCACTCATGGTGCCTCTCTTCTGTTTCAGGCTCATTCTGGGTGACAGTAAGTTACGAGTGGTTATGAAAACATAACAGCATCTATTGTGTGTGTATTGCAGCAGGTGATGATAAACCTGCAAAACCCTGTCCCTTCCTTCTGTGTCAAACTGTATGAGTTGAAAACCATGTGGATTTTATGAAATAAAGAACAAAACATGTAGATGCTCTCTTCATTTATTCTCTTGCAAGAAATAAAGTATTGTGTGAATTAAAAGACACATTTCAGAAGACATGAAAAACACAAAGCCAATTTTGAGCGGCATGCAGTTTATTCTCTAATTGTTCACAATGAGTGAAAGGATGGCCTGCATGTGGCATTTCCCTCCGCGTGCAGTTTAGCGGTATCTCTCAGCGAGAGCCAGGGCCACTCCAGAGAGGAATTTATCCAGAGAGACGTGGGCCTCGGGGGTGAAGTCCTTCGGGAACATGGTGCTGATCACCACCAGGATGCAGTGGTTCAGGATCTGCAGGGAAACAATTGAAAAGCAAATTGAAAAAAAATCATAAAACCACATTTAATTTCACTGTAACAGAAGAGTTGTTATTTTTACTTAATTCCCGTTTTGCTGAAAATCATGCTGAATGCAACAGCAGCACACATTCGTAATTAATACGTAAGCTCTACATGTGCGTAAAAGCGCGCACAAGCAATCCAAACCTCACAGTGATGTTAAAAAGATCACCTCAGCACAGATGTTATATCATGATGTCATTGTTTTCACGATGTTAATGTCTCACCTTGAAGTTGGCCGGGTCCACTCGCAGCTTGTAGGCGTGCTGCTCGCTGAGGTCAGACAGACCAGCTTTCAGGTCGTCAATCTTGGACACAGCCAGAGCGATTCCACCCATCACTTTCTTGCCATGGGCCTTAATGTGAGGAGAGCCGGGGGTCACGTCAGGCCAGTGGGAGAAGTAGGTCTTGGTCTGCGGATAGACGACGATCATCCTGTGGGGGTGGAGAGGGCGTTAGGTGGTAGGGAGCTTAACACTGAGCGTAAGGCAAATCAATGACAAATAACTTCACAAACTCTATATGATGTTTTTACTTTAAAGGTATTTTTCTGTATATATATATATATATATAGCACTAATGTAATATAATTCATATTTGAATAGATCATTCTTAAATTTAGAGTGTATTTGCTGCCATGAATCCAATGTAATTGAACGGTTTAAGGGTCCTTAAATGTAATGCCATTACTGTGTTTTTAAAAGGTAAATAAAGACACTTAAAGACCCCACATTTACACTAGTAAATTATTCAAGCACCGAATAAAAATAAATATTTAAAAACGTTTTAATAGTATTTTATATAATCACACATGTAATAAAACATGTAGTAAAATATATAAAACAAAAACAAACTCCGATATAAACCGGATGCACTCACCTGCTCAGAGCATCGTTTCCAATCGCATCAGCTGACTTGCCGATCTTGCTCCACAGAGCCTTGACTGCTGCCTTGTCTTTGTCGGAGAGACTCATCTTGCTTGCTTGCTTATTTCTTAGTGACTTCTGAGGGTTTGGAGTTCCTTTTTAAATGCAATTTCGATCAGGTCACACCCACACTGAGCCCACCCCGCCTGACTCATCGGAGCCTTCCTCCCGGACAGATAGACCCGCAGATGGCGTGATGCCAGCCGGACAGCAGTATCAGCAGGTCAGTCTGTGCATCAGTTGGCACCAATTTACGTGGGCATGAAATGGCAAAAGAGTCTCGTGAATAGAGTTTCTCTCTGATGGGAATCTCAGGTCACAGCAGAGGAGCAGCGAAGGGTGAGTTTACTCCCCAGTGAGAGACTTCTCCCGCTTTACACCAGTGTGGCGTTTCAAGCCAAAATGCAAGTTAAGTGCAACATATGAGTGACATCTCAAAACAAAGATATCTGTTTTCTTGGATCATATTAAACAGAAATGAAGATTTTTAAGTAAAGACAGTTTCTTTTTTGCACATTCTTAATTTACGCGTAAATAAACGTGTGCGTAAAAGTACGCTCAAGACATCCAAACCTTGGTGTGATGTGAATGGATTTTGTTGGCACATATCTTTCAGCATGATATCAAATTGTGCATTATGTACTTCTTGAGAGAGTTGAAGTTCTCATCAATAAAGTCATTTTTCTATTATCATTCAAAGTTTTGAGACATTCTTGCTCTGGTTTTGGGCAATTTAAACTAAAAACAAAATGCAAAACTTCAGAAGGAAACCCCAGTGTGGATTAATAACATGTACTTTTATTAACATCATGTATTGATGAACTTTCACGGACATTAAGATCCTCAAACACACATATGTCAAACTCAAGGCCCGGGGGCTAAATCAGGCTCTTGGTGGATTTAATTTCGGCCCGCAGAATCATTTCTTAGATATGGTCCGCCGGTATATTGCTCGCACACCTTCACTCAATCCTGAGGGTTTTCTCAGCTCAGAGCCTGAGCCCAAACATTGATGACCTTGCACCCAAGATGAGATGCCAAGTATCTGAACTAGCATCACAGAGCAGCACACTGAGTTTAATGGATGTTTCCTTCTGCTCTTTCTCTCTCACGACAACAGGGCATGTTTGATTTTTTCTTTGAGGGAAATAGTTTTGTTGAAGCTGTTGTTGGCCTGTGGAAAAATGTAATCATAAGAAATGACTCGGAAAAGCTGCAGATAGAGCCATAAGAAATGAATGCAACTGATTATTTAATGTTTAATGTTGTTTTTATAGGCAATAATTTAAGCTTTGTTAGTTCCAGGTTTAATATGTGCAATAAGTTCATTTCAATAAGTTTTGCAATAAACATTGAACCAGTCCGGCCCTCGACTAGTACCCATTTTTTTTATTTTGGCCCACTGTGTATTTGAGTTTGACACCTAACACCACAAACAAAGGCTTCATCAAGTTTGCACAGTTTCAGGATTTTACGAAAGCATGCTTATTTTGTGTATCTAGTATGGCCCGTAAGAAAGGGAATTTTGTTGAATTTCTAAAAATGAACACGATGAAGCCATACCGTTCATTTTGCACATGATGATCTCATTCCTACGATTGTTTTGTTGGAATTGGTTGCATAATAAGCAAGAACACGTTTCATTCAAACATCCCAGTTTCAACAAATCAGATACATCAATGCATGTATGTTCTTTATTTGTCACTAACGTAAACTACATTTTCCTAAAACTAGCCGCACTGAATCACTTCCTAAAAATGAAAGAAATATATAAATAGTCATTGCGGTTAGTATGTATATATATATTGATTTCAAATCCGTTTTATTTCAAATGTAGCATTTTAAAAATCATTTATATAATTTATTTTGTTGAGGCCATTACTTTATTTCTCGGAAATGGAGCTCGTGGAATTGTATCATCGACAAGACTAATATGAAGTTTGGCACCAGGTGGCAGAGGGTGGTGGTGGGCGCTGCTGGAGATAACAGGCGCGTGCCTTCAAAGATAAACACTCTGACATCAACCCTTTTGGACTGCTTTGCAAATTCAGTAGCATTATAAATTAAGTGTAATAAACACAAATGAGTGGTTTATGACCTATAGTGCTATACACTTCAAAAATAAGCATGCTTTCGTAAAATCCTGTGCAAACATGATGAAGCCTTTGTTTGTGGTGTTAGAGGATCTTAAAGGCTGTGAAAGTTCATCAATAAATGATGTTAATAAAAGTACATGTTATTAATCCACACTGGGGTTTCCTTCTGAAGTTTTGCATTTTGTTTTTAGTAACTTTGAATGATAACAGAAAAACAACTTTATTTATGGGAACTTCAACTCTCAGGAAGTACATAATGCACAATTTGATATCATGCTGAAAGATATGTGCCAACAAAATCCATTCACATCACGCTAAGGTTTGGATGCCTTGAGCGTATTTTTACGCGCACGTTTAATTACGCGTAAATTAAGCATGTGCCAAAAAGAAACTGTCTTTACTGAAAAGTCTTCATTTCTGTTTAATATTATGTAAGAAAACAGATATATTTTAAGTCTTTTAAAAGTATGCTTTTTTAATAAATGCTTACATGGACTGGCCCCCCACCCTTAGGGGAATTCATCCACAAAAAAGACACTGGACGCTGCAGCCCGTAAGAAAGGGAATTTGGTTGAATGTCTAAAATGAACACGATGAAGTCATACCGTTCATTTTGGACATGATGATCTCATTCCTACGATTGTTTTAAAGACAGTTTCTATAATAAGCAAGAACACGTTTCATTCAAACATCCCAGTTTCAACCAATCAGATAAATCAATGCATGTATGTTCTTTATTCGTCACTAACGTAAACTACATTTTCCTAAAGCTATAGCCGCACTGAATCACTTCCTAAAAATGAAAGAAATATATAGATGGTCATTGCCGGTCATTACGCTTAAAGATGAATCACTCACATGATATATTGATTTAAAATTCGTTTTATTTCAAATGTAGCCTTTTAAAAATCATTGATATCATTTATTTTGCTGAGGCCATTACTTTATTTCTCGGAAATGGAGCTCGTGGAATTGTATCATCAACGCCCTTTATAATCAAGACTAATATGAAGTTTAGCACAGGGTGGAGGTGGGGGCGCTGCTGGAGATAACAGGCGCGTGCCTTCAAAGATAAACACTGACATCAAACCTTTTGGACTGCTTTGCAAATTCAGTAGCATTAGAAATGAAGTGTAATAATTTTTAAATGCCTGTGCTGTATCCAAGCAGCTGATTAAGTCGCTGAAATTAAAAAATGCATGTATGTCAGGGTTCATACACTTTTTCACCAATGATTTTCAATTACTTTTCCATGACTTCTCCATGACCTTTACCTAATTTTCCATGACCAAAAACATTACTCTCTCAGCGGTACCACTGAAAATGGTTTATTTTAACATGGAACAGGAAAATGAGGTCTGCATATGAAACATGTTGTGCCGATCTAAAACAAATAAAATAGTAGGTTTACTAACTTCTACACGCTAAAGCAACTAAAATCTCTCACCAGCAAAACACCTCGCCAGTTAAATGCCATTTTACGTTTCATTACTATACCATACAGTATTTATTATCATTATAGTGTTACTATTTCGGCGATTAGATCAAATATATCGTATTGTTTTCCATAACTTTTCTAGGGCCTGGAATTAGCATTTTGAATTTCCATGACTTTTCCAGGTTTTTAATGACTGTAATAACCCTGGTATGTGTTTCTGCAAAGAAGGTACATTGTCCATTAATAAGTTCACATGCATTTTCTTTCAAAACATCACCACATTTTTACGAAACATATGGGTGCTATAATAAATCACACATATAACGACTTCATTATCATGTCCCTAAACAACACTCAACAACTACAAAATAAATAAGAGCCAAAATAAGTACATTTTGGT